CCCCTGTCATTTGGGAGGTGTGAAATAAAACGCAGTACGCTGTAGCTGTATTAACGTTAGCTTCCTAATAAGGCACTCACACTGTCTCATGAGGATAAACAAGACCACCTTAGTGTGTAGTGCATTTGAGATATACAAAACTGTGCAAAGAAAAAATACTGAAATTAAACATTTCTACATGGAAAAAAAAATTATAAAGAGCAATAAACAGACTAATAAATTTAAAGTCAATATTTGGTGTAACAAGCCTTTGCTTTTTGAAAATGCATCAGAAGTCTCAGGTAGAATTTGTGCAGTTTTAGAAGGAAATTACCTGGCAAGGTTTCCTGAGCATCAGAGAATCTGCCACAGATTTTCTGTAGGCAAAACCAAACAGCATGAGCTCACAGACAAAGCTGCAAAAGCAAGATTGGGAGCAAACCATTTTATTTAATTACGGCATTATTTTTTGCTCTCCGAATTGATTTGTATTTTCATGCATTTATCCAGGCTGAAATTTTATGAGGCCTCTGATAAGTCGTGAGAAAATCAAGTTCAAGTCCGAGTCAAGATGCAAGTCAGACAACGTGCGCCTCATGTGAGTCACAAATTCAGGTCACCATCTCTCGGACAAATTAAAGCTATCTGCAGGAAACAAACATAACCCACCTTAAATTCTGTGAAGTATCTTAAAGAAAAAGATTAATAAAATCTGCAAAAATCAATGCATGTGTGTTCACACAGGGAAACTCACGGAGATGTAGTGCACTATTAGTGATATACTAAATGTTGTACCAAGGCTGGACTGGGACATAATTTCAGAGAGTCTCATATTTATCCAGGCCACCCTATACACCCACAGCAAATTTTGAAAATACTGACAACCCTATTTTTGCTGTCCTAAATTCAATTTATTACACACAGTATGGCCATCCCATAAAAACATAAACAAGCAGCCTAGAGGTAGTGAAGCAGTCCTAATTTATATCAGCTTACACGGGTCTGCACAGAACATTATACCAAGCATTTAACAAACACCAGAAGTGCAAAGCTGCCAGTAACTCTCTACTTCTCACTCACAAAAGTACATCAAATGCAGAAGAGAGGTAAACCAAGGACTTATCTTTGAAAGTCAGCAGGTGTCGCAAAACATCACTGCTCTCAGCAACTTTATCAATAAAGTTGTCAATGTCAGTTCCAACAAGTGTCTCCCTCTCTGTTGGCATTAACATGAAAGCCTCAAGGTGTTCCTGATTAATAGAGGTCCTAAGTCTGTTCTTCACAAGCTTCAGTGTGGAGAAGCTTCTCTCACAGGCTACTTGTGTCACATACAATGTCAACAAAAACTTGTCCCAGTGATATGGTAGGCATCAGTGAACAGGTCGTGTTTAGACAGAAGGACATGGCAGGCCAGTTTTTGCGAGCTGAGCAAACACTGCTCACCAACTCCAAGCCCTCATCAGCAGCTGGAGGGCTGGCATCTACTCCAGTGCCAGGTTCACTCTCTCCACCTTACTGTGAAAAATAGGAGAAAAAGTTTTGGGTTTTTTTCTCCCAACCTCAAATATGGGCAGACATAATTTTCTAAATTGCCTAAATATGTGTATAATATATAAACTACATCATGACAATAGCTTTTTAGAAAAATCCTACTATTGAACATATTGCCTCAGCTTGGAAAAGTGTTTGTTGTTGTTTTTTGCCCGAGCTGTATTTGTAATTTCAACACTTAAAATAACAACATGGGGGCTCCCTAAATGTACTGTACGTCAATTTGGATATTTGTCTGCTAAATTACTACGTATTATAACTATACAATAGATAATGCTGTCCTTTAGCATATTTTGAGTGACGATAGTAATAGTGCTAACGTTTGCAAATTGTAGTTAATAGTTGATTAGCTAAGTTAGCGAACACAAAGCAACAGTATTTACACATGAGACTGAGCTGCACTTGAAGCCCTGAACAGGTCAGTTATTTTGCTACATTTCTCTGCTTCTTCATGGAGGACTTTCCCTCTCCGCTCCACCGGGCCGCTTCGTCTCCTTCCCCGCTCTCTCCGAAACCGTTCCCCGGAGGTGAGGCTGATGCCAGCGTTAAGTCAAGACTAACAGATTGATTATCGATTTATCATCGAATTAGGAAATGATCACTTTAGTACATCTGACATGCAATAATATAAAATGATAATGATTAAATAAATACATTTTTTTAAATAACAACAACAGCAGGGCAGCGGGCCAGATCAGCGGTCAGGACACCGGGAATTCTCCGGGACTGTGTTCTGCTAACAGGGAAATGAAGTGTGGACAGTTGGACACCTCGCACGAGTGTTCTCGGCCTGCTCCACACAGGACAGGGGCAGAGCTACCAGACGGGGCTGCAGTTTATATTTTGTGACAGTCCATACATAGCGTGAGGACTCTGTTATATCGTGCGAGCAAATGAGGAGTTAAAAATTTAATCCAAACATTTTGCATTTTAATAGTGCTCTTCTTGTTCCTGTGGAGGCTGTTTAACACGGTTCAGTTATATGAGGCAGCATGCGGGAACTTTTCATTTTCATTTAGTCCAAAACGTGTGTCCGATTTCAGATGGCACAAGCAAAAATGATCTACTACATACTGAATTGCCTAGTTTATAGTATGTCCTAATGTGCATAGTACATCATTTGAGTACGTCATCTCTTACATATCTATAGTTTCCTCCCTGCTAGAAAGTCTCCTTATTGTGGAGAATGTGCAGCCTGCTGACTGACTGAATGAGTGAAAAGCCAGGCGTAGTTATAAGCGCACCCAACACACACACACACACACACACACACACACACACACACACACAAGAAAAAGAAAGCCTTTATTTGTCGCATACATTACAGGACAGTGAATTTCTTTTTTTCTTCACATACCCCGGCTTGTTAGTAGGAGTCTGGGGTTACAGAGCCATGCTGCAGCACCCCAGGAGCAGAGAGGGATAAGAGCCTTGCTCAAGTGGCAGCTTGGCTTGAACCCACATCCTTCTGATCAGCAACCCAAAGCCACTGAGTGGTGTGTGAGGCCCAGGTTGCCTTATTCGCTGAAATATATCTCTATGCATATATATAAAGTATTATGTCCATTATGCAGTGAGATTGGAAAGTATTCAGAGCCCATCAGCTTTTGAACATTTTACTGTTATAGATGTCATTTAAAATGGATTAAATATACATTTTGCCATTAATCTACATACAGTAATCCATAATGACAAGGTTTTTAATATGCAAATGTATTAAAATTTAAAAACTGAAATATTGATATAAGTATTCAGACCCTTTATTTGGTACTTTGTAGAAGTACCTTTGCCAGCAATTATTGTCATCGAATTTTTTGGGTTATGCCGAGTTCACACTGCACGATTTTCAAAGTCGTGGTTTTCACACTGCACGACTATCTGGGGTAGCATTCAGTCGCTGCTGTGTTCACACTGCACTATGGATCGGCGACAGGAGGTTACACACTGCATGACTTTACAATAGAAAGAATCGCCGACAACTCTGTCTGGCTCGCAAACTCCGTTTCACAACCAAACGCACGCGAGAAGTGATAAGGAAATAACGCCAGATCGCACGTGAGATCAGAGCTCTCGCGCGAGACTGGAAATGGTACCCCGCAAGAAGTTCGCGATCCAAATGGTCTGTGCGCTGATTTGCAGCGAAAGGGCAAAAAAGAAAAAAAAGATTATGGAGGAGGAAATGGTCGGGGAGACGCGGGGAGCTTTCTTCCATTTCTTGGGTCCAAATAGACCGAGAAGGAGCGTTTTTCGGCACCGAAGCCATGTTTTCTGATATTCTGTAACTCCTCCCCGAGCTTCCTTCTGCCCTGTATCTTGCTCTCTCATTGGCTGGAGGTCATCGCCGATGTTTGTTTCAGTCAGAACTCATTTCACAGCAGGATTTTGAATCGCCGACAGGTCCAGATATTTAGCATGCCATATATTTCACGAGCGTCGGCAACGCATCGGTGATTCTCTCGGACCTGTCGGCAGGCAGTGTGAACTCGGCATTAGTCTCTACAAGTTGTGCACACCTGGATTTGGACAGTTTCTCCCTTTCATCTTGGCAGATCTTTGATCAGATTGGATGGTAATCTTCTGTTAACTGCTATCTTCAGGTCTTTCCACAGATATTCAGTGTGGTTCAAGCCTGGACTTGGGCTGGGCCACTCAAGGACATTCGGAGGCTTGTTGTGAAGCCACTCCAGCATTGTCTTGGCTGTATGCTTCATGTTGGCTGTATGAGTCGTTGTTGTGCTGAAAGGTGAATTTTTGCCCTAGTCTGTGGTTGTGTGCAATCTGGAGCAGGTTTTCTTCAAGGACTTCTCTGTATATGACTGCATTCACCCTTCCCTCTATTCTGACCAGTCTCTGACTATCTCTGTTGCTGATTAGCACCCCCATAACATGATGCTGCCACCACCATGCTTCATTGTAGTGATGACATTAGCCAGTTGATGAGCTGCATCTGGTTTTCAATATGCTCCTGGGAACATTCAAAGCTTTAGAAATTTTTATACCCTTACCTAGATCTACACAATTTGATTGAGTTTCCACTAGACTCCAGTGACGTTCTAGAGACATCTCAAGATAATCAAAGCAAGTGGAAAAGCATCTCAGAACACACATTTTGAAACTTGAAGCGGATGGGCCACAATAGCAAAAGATCACATTGGGTGTCACTCCTGTCAGCCAAGAACAGGAATCTGAGATTATAATGGGTACAGAATCACCAAAACTGGACAGTTGAAAATTGGAAAAATGTCATCTGGTTTCCAGTTTTCAACTGTCTAGTTTCAATGAGCCTGTGCATACTGGAGCCTCAGATTCCTGGAAAGTTTCACCCCAGCAACTTGGCTTGTGAAAAAGTGCTAAGGATAAGTGTGCTTTAGGCTCCTGTAAACTCCTGATTCAAGATAAAGAAGCAGCTACTTTTTCAGAGGCAGGAGTGTGGGCTTGATTAAATTTAAAATTTATCACACCTCACAGGGGGCATGGTGGCTTAATGGTTAGCATATTTGCCTTGTACCTCCAAAGGTTGGGGGTTCAAATCCTGCCTCTGCGTGCAGAGTTTGCATGTTCTCCCTCTGCTGTGGGGGTGTACTCTGGTTTCCTCCCCCAGTCAAAAGTCATGCATTGTAGGCTTTTCCAAGTTGTCCATAGTGTGTGCAATTGTGCCCTGCGATGGTTTGGCACTCTGCCTTGTACCCTGGGATAGGCTCTAGGCTCCCCCGTGTCTCTGAGTAGGATAAGCAGTATGGAAAATGGATGGATAGATGGATTACACCTCACAAATTATGTGGTATTTTAATGATGAATAGTCTATTATGCAGCCATTTGAATGCAGTAAGTGACATATTGAATCAAGAGCCTTCTATTTCTCGATTTTACATACATACTCTGGAACCCACATATCGACCCTGAACATCTGAGGGCTCCACAAATGACTGATAGTTTTAAAAGGGGTCTAAAAACATATCTTTTTAAAAAGTGTTTTAATATTTAGAGTTTAAATTTCCGTGCTAATCTCAGTTGGCAGCTGGTTTTAATTGCTGTATGTTATTATGACTCCTTCTGTAGCACTTTGAGATTTTCTTTAAAATGTAAAGTGCTTTATAAATAAAATGTATTATTATTATATTGATATTGATTTTAATGTTCTCTCTGTCTCCTTTTATTAGCCAGCAGGTTGTTCTGTGTTTCTACACAGTGTCAATGGGAAATGCTTCTCCAGCCCTGGCAACAGGCAATCCATTGGCTGACCTGGAAGCTCAGATGGTCTACTATTGGCTTGCAGTACAGGCTAATTTAAAGTGAGAGATTCATCCCTGCACAGCTGGGTGTGTTAGTGCATGTGGCTGCAGCTCAGTGCTCCACCCTTGGCAAATTATTCTTACTTTGATTTGGGATATTGACACTTGTGTGGAAATATGCTACAGAATTTCATTTTAGGCTACAGTGAACAGTGTTGTATTGTGGATTCTTATATTAATGAAAAGCACACTGATAATTAGTGCAAATGGAAGCAGTAATCAGCACTCAATAATACATTCAAATAAACTTTTGCATTCCATATGCAAATGTGTATCACCAATGTTTAATGCTATCTAATTGATTGCATCTGTTAAGTCTTACGTATGAGATGACAGCCCCATATTGTCTGACTGTATACTCTGCAGCACAGTCAGAGTCAGATAAATGATCAGTTATAGATCAATTCGGATTGATATTGAGAGACAAAGACACTGACATTGTTATAGGTAGAGCTAGAGGAGCACTCTCTCTTTTTTTTTTTAATTATTGATTTCTGGTACCACTTAAATTTTTTTTACAGTTTTATATTATGTTCAGGACCAAAATGAGAATGAGACAAATAAACTCTAAATGTTAATTGTGATTATTTATATACAGGTTTGGCATTCAGGTTTAGTTTTTCCAAGAATGATCCACTTCCCTCAAGTACAGGTTTCTAGCATGCTTTTCCAACAAAAAATGAACTAGTGAAAGACTGCAGAAAGCTGCCTTTGGTGTTTTGGTATATCCAACCACGAGCATATGGAAAGGAATATGATGTACCCTACATCAGTTTTGTGGTGTAGGCGAAGCTTTCTGCAAAGGCTGAGGAAAGCACATCTCCCACCCTCCATCCTCACCATGTTCTACAGAGGGACTATCGAGAGCATCCTGTGCAGCTGCATCACTGCCTGCTTTGGGAATTGCACTGTCTCAGATCGCAAGACCCTTCAGCGGATAGTGAGGACAGCTGAGAAGATCATCGGGGTCTCTCTTCCCTCCATCACGGACATTTACACCTCACGCTGCATCCGCAAAGCCACCAGCATTGTGGATGACCCCACACACCCCTTTCACACACTCTTCATCCTCCTGCCGTCTGGTAAATGGTACCAAAGCATTCGGGCCTCACAACCAGACTGTGCAACAGTTTCTTCCCCCAAGCCATCAGACTCCTCAATACCTAGAACTGGACTGAAGGAAGGAACACACACACACACACATACATACATATATACACACACACACACACAACTGAGCATCCTCCATGCACATGTTTTACACATGTTTTGAACATGTTTTATGCTGCTGCTGCTACTATTATGTTTACACATAATATAATACCATTATGTTTACACTACTTCAGCTATTTATATCAAACTCTGTAATATTTGCACTATTGTCACTTGGTCACTTTCAAACAGAACTGCGTACAGGTCGGCGCTGTAGTCATTGTACTGTCTTGTTCTGTCTTGTGCGTCTGCACATGTTTGCACTTGTGCACTTTATGTTTAATTTATGTAGTCCCTGTAGTTCTGTGTTGTTCTGTGTTTGTCTTATGTAGCACCTTGGTCCTGGAGAAACGTTGTTTCGTTTCACTGTGTACTTGTATATGGCTGAAATGACAATAAACTCCACTTGACTTGACTTGACTTGAAATGATAAAGTTCTGCTTTAGTGTACAGTACACACAAGTGTAAGAAACTTAACCTGCAGAAGATATTTCTGAATGGATTTGACTGGATTGTGTTTGTATTATGCAACTATTTAGATCATCTAAATAGTTGCATAATACATAATATGATTTTTTTTTAACTTGCTTCAGAGCAATGTCCCTCACTACACATGACCAACATAGAGGCAATACGTCTATGACCACTTTTTTCTTTATTTACTTTTTTTCATGTCTCATTATTTTGGCTCTTGTGCAACTGCTACATAATTATTCACATTCAAGATAAGTGTTACCCAGACAGCTAAAAGTTAAAAAAGGAAACAAAAATAAATATATGAATGAAAAAATTAATACTGCCAAATACAATTTATGGTCCATGTTCTGATTGTGTCACAGAAACACTGATTCTGATACTCCACTGTAGCTCAAACCATACATGTTGCATTGTGCATAACATGACAAAAAAAAGCACTCATAAATCGCTGAGAGAGCAGAAACATTGTTAAACAATGTCATGATATAGTTTAGTGAGGAAAAACACGTGCACAGTTAAGTGATCAATAGTGTTTTTCAAATTTCAGTCTAGCTAAAGAAATAAAACATATTTCATGTCACAACAGCAACGCCCATAACAGATCAATTTATTCATAACAATCACAATTTTTAAATTAGCAAATCAAAAAAGATAAATAAGAAGTAATCAATATGAAGCATGTTTTACTTCTCAATCATAGGAATACATAACATCCAAGGTATAAGTTAATAAAGTCAAGCTATTGTATAAATACATCACCAGCATGCACAATATTGAATCATTGATAGTATCATTATCTTACACTGACAAAACAGTATAGTTGGCAAGTGCAAAAATAAATTAAACACAGAAGTAAACCACAAACTTTGAAGCTGCAATATTTTTCTTATTTTCTATTTTTTTAAGTCTCTGCCTCTCATCACGTGTGACCTTTCAAAATAACTTATGGTTCCAGTAACGTTGGAATATGATGACCATAATATTTTGTTTTGTTACTGTATATTTGATTATTCTGGAAGTCAAAACATTAGAGATGTTAGATTAGAGATCTGATTAAATGAGATTGTTTATTTTACTGCAGCTGCTAAACTCACAAATTTGCCTTATATATGTTAATCTTTTTTGTGACTAAAACTGGAACCATTTACGGCTATTTTTCAGACAATAAATTCAAGTGGTTTTTGTTTGTTTGTTTTTTTAGCTCGCCCTCTTTTTCAAATGCTTTTCTACTACCCAGAAACATAAATGAGCAACATCTCTTTATCTCTTTGAACTACATCAGTCCATATGCCAGTGCGTGGCTGCAATTCCAAACCAACGACGACCCTTTCCTGGCTGATTGACTGACATTTTCAGTGGTTTGGCAAACGTCATAGAGAACCGAGACAAAGGAGGCGCTTTCAGCTATTATATATTTCTGTTTATCCTCAAACTAAGACTTCAGCCCCCACCCCTTTTTAACTGCCCTCAATATTTTTTTTCTTTTTGAATTCATGGAAAAATAAAGAACTGCCGCTGCAGAGGAAACCATGGCGAAAGCTGCTTGCCAAAGTCCACCAGCCATATTTCTTAAATCATTTTTCTGCACAGAGAAAGAGCTACCACTTAGTTGTTGCCCTCGCCGCCCTCGTCATCCTGCTGATCGCTCGTCCACAGTGTCAAGTTGTCTCGGAGCAGCTGCATGATGAGCGTGGAGTCTTTGTAGGAGTCCTCGTTGAGGGTGTCGAGCTCGGCGATGGCATCATCAAATGCTGTCTTGGCCAGGTGACATGCCTGCTCTGGTGCATTCTGGATCTCATAGTAGAAAACCGAGTAGTTGAGTGCCAGGCCCAGGCGGATGGGGTGTGTGGGCTGCATGTGTTCTTTGCTGATCTCATGCGCCTCATTATATGCCTTTTCGGAAGACTCCACCACTGTGGATCGCTTCTCGCCTGTAGCCACCTCTGCCAGGTAGCGGTAGTAGTCGCCCTTCATCTTCAGGTAGAACACCTTGCTTTCATGCTGTGCATCGCTGCAGTTCTTGATCAGATAGTTGTCGAGCAGGCTGAGCACATCTTGGCACACAGCCTCCAGCTCCTTCTCAATCTTCTCACGGTAGGCTCGCACCATCTCAATCTTCTTTTCGTTGCCGTCAGCTGAGGTCTTCTGCTCAATGCTAGAGATCACCCTCCAGGAGGAGCGGCGCGCACCTACCACGTTCTTGTATGCCACAGAAAGGAGGTTTCTCTCCTCATTAGACAAAGCTTCGTTCAGCTCTGTTACCTACAACGCAAACAAAATAATGCCAGGTGAATAAAATAATTAGGGAAATGCAAATTCTACCAGTGTCAATTCTTCTTGTACAGTCCCTGCTACAGCATACATGGCACAGCCTGTGTTGTTTTTCACGTCTTCATTTTCACTCTGCATGTGCTTAATTCCATGTCGCTCTAGTGAAATTAAAAGCTCATTGAAGTAATCAGCGCCACTTTAATAAATGCTCCAGTCAGTGTAAGGAAAGCAGCTTTGCAAACAGTAACTTATATTTCATGTTCAGTAACCACTTTATCCTGGTCAGGGTTGC